AATATATATGTATATACAAGGATAGCTGGGATAAATGTACTGGTGATGTCTATTGGTTTATTGAAAGGAACCTATTCATGCTTATTTTTTTTCTTGACCAATTTTGCATGCTTACATCTGGTAATCTGAACAACTAATTTGAAGACAACAATATGGAATATAACAACTATTGTTGAATTCTTACCATCTTGTTTAGTGGAGCTCTGTATCATTCTAATATTCTTTTTTACTACTTTTTGTTCTCTTTAATTGTTCAATCAATCTTGCATTCTTATATCTGGTAATCTGAGCAACTTCATTGAAGATAACAATATTTAATGTAACAACCACTGTTAATTCCTATCATTTTGTTTTGAAATCCATACTGTTTTTATCTTTTTTTGTGTTGTTTTGGTTTTGTCTTTGTTGTTATTTTGTTATTTTTTTTTTTTTGCTTTAAAATAAAAAAAAAATTCTGTAACATACTACTACTGATTCCAATTCTGTATTCTGGAACAACATGTGATAAATTTCTCTTCTTTTCCAATGGACAGAATTTTTAACAGCTGAATAATATAACCACTTTGGCCCACTCATGCCTCCACCAAAAAGACCAGGTCTGTCTTTGTTCTTTGTAAAATACAGTATCCAGCGGCTCTCTCTGCTCAAATTGGTGATGCCGCGGTGGGTACTTGGGGAACAGCACCTCACTGTGGATCTGATGTGGGCAGTGGGGCACAAAGCATAGTGACCCTGTGCCCTCCTCTGATGGGCATCTGAGTATCAGACAATGACCAGTGCATTGTCCCTCTCTCTGGCTGTCAGGTTGAATACCCCAGTCTGTCCTGGAGGGAGGGCTAATTAGCACCTCAGAATCTGCACTTTGTCACACATTACATAACCCAGTTCCCACACTGGGTTGCATCATTTAAAATATTTGTGTTGGTTTGGGGGTTATTTTTGCAAGGGGAACAATACAATATAGGACACGTATTTTATCAGATTATCTATAACAGTCACCCAAAGAATGATATACCTAAGAGCGTGCAGGAAATCTATGCACACAATATAGACCAGGAATCCAGCTGAGGGTCTGGATCCCGAAATAATGTCCTACATGAGGATCGCTGAATAGAGTCCATAAGAATGCCTCGCATGAATCCAGCTGGAGGCCCAGAGCCCATAACAGTATCTCACGCAGGCCTGTTTCACAGATCTGCACTGGGAAGGCCCAAAGGTCAGTGGTGGAATCTAGAAAGTCTGTGCCAGCGGGATGAAGGATCTGTGCTAGCAGGCTGAGGGATCTGCACTGGAGCCAGAAAGTGATGCTCAGAAGAACCAGAGCTCCCCCAAAAGGTACCACAGCCATCCTCAGCAACAGTGAGGTCCTGAGCTCCTCCAATGATCAAGATCGCTGAGTTCCCATCAGGGAAGCCAACGCAGTAAGCTTTTCCAGGAGGCCAGCAGTGCACCCTCTTTCCCTCTGGAGCGAGGAAGCGATGCTCAAAGTGAGGACCAAAGCTCCCCCAAAGTGAACCAAAGCCATTCTCAGTGCCAGCAAGGTCCCAAGCTCCTCAGAGGATGAAAACAGCTAAGTTCATCAGGAAAGCCAGCATGACGAGCTCCGCCAAAACAATCAACAGCTCCTCACAGCTTCCACTAGCTCCCAGCAGCCTCTCTCAGCTCCCAATAGCCTCCTTCTTCTTCTCCAGGTCTGACTCTTATGCTGCTGGCAACAGTCCTCAGGTGGGCCTCCCACACCCAGCACCACGCTTACTTGGTTCAGCTGGGGGTTATAAGTTTACCACCAGTTATCAATCCACTACAATATTTGACAAGGAGATCAAAGCATTATCTAAGGAAAAAGAACCCAAGACAAGGGTACAGTAGTCAGTGAGACCCCTGGAGGATGCCCATCACTGTACTAATGACGTCTTCAAGTGGGGCTTCCAACCAGCCACAATTCCGTCACCAAAAGTTTTTTTAACTACATTTTTACTAGTTACCTTTCAAATACTTGATTGAAATGAATATAAGTGAAGCCAGTCCCCCTGTCTTTTTCTGGTTTTGAAGAAAGAAACATTAAATTGACTTATAGAGCATAATTTATTGTCTTGTGAAGCCAACTGTGGCTTTTAATATGCTCCATGCTTTTATTAAAATATGATGTATAGTTTTAATGATTTTAGAACTGATGGAGATTGGCACACTGTTCACAAATATTCTGAAATTTATGCATTGAGATTATGTCACCACATTCCTCAGAATCAGCCCCTTTCTTGCACTATGTGAATTTCCCAAGACACCAAATAAAACACGAGGACCTCATCTTCACAACCCATCAGCACTAAATACACACCAGACACGTCCTGAGGCTCCAACTTTTATACAAGCAGGACTGACCTTTCTTTTGGACATTGTTATATGTTACTTTCCTCTTCTGATGTGAACTCCGTCTCCTCTCCCCTTTATAGTTTAAATATCAAATTTTCCTTGACAGGGAAACACACAACTGGGCATTTGTATTCTCTTCTTCGAGCATTTGTTCATCTGTCCTCGTCCATGTTTCTTCTGGTTCCAGTTCATTCAGTGGCTCTGCTTAGATCTGAGTGTCCTTGGGTCTGAGCTCACTTCCCTGCCTGGAATTGCTGCTGGCCTTCTGGGACCTGCAGGTCCTGTGCACACAGGGAGAGGGAACCAACTCTGCATGGTCACCCCCCATGACCAGGATGCACACATGTGGCTCCTGTACAAGCTGGCCCTGTCCCTCCATGCATATCGCTGGTCACTGGTTTCAGAGCTAAGCTTGTGATTGTCTTCCAGTGACAAAGTAACGAACTTTTCAGTCCAGCGAATCCATGGTCCCTACACGTTACCTTGTGACCTGCTTTGGACTTTTCCTTTGGACTTATCCCTGACTGCAGATTCAGTCTGAGTTACCTTGAATGACTTTTTGGTTGCTGTCACCCAGGAATCCTCAGCAAGAAGTGTGTGACCTGCTGGCCTATGATTGTGCAACAACACACCCATGATCCTCCTGAAATCTTTTGGAAAATGCAGTTATGTACATTGAGAGAATTCCTAATTGGATGTAAATTCTTAAAGGGGTTTGCAATCAAATCAGGGTTCATAAAGATGTCTAAACTCCTATTTTTTTAGTTTCTAACCATTTGAAGTTAAGTTCCTATCATAGTTTTTGAAATCTCCTCTCTAGACTTTAAAAATAATGTTAGAATGAAGTCCATTCTCCACACGTTGAAAGGAGACACAGCACTCTCTACTGAATTGGATCAGTAAACTGACATCAGACCTGGGCACACACAAGTACAGAGCTTGACATAAGAGCTCGTTAGTTTCAAACAAAGTACACTAAGTATGTGTACTATTTGTGTTTTATAGCTGAGACCAGAGTATGTTCTAAAAAGTAAAGTAATGCTAAAGATAACTATTATAAAATTAAATTAACCAGACTGTTGAGTCACTGCCCACTAAGTTTGCATGAATCACTTAATTTAATCTTTACAGAAACAAAAATACAGTTTACAGGGAAGAATATGAGGCTGAGAGAGAGGAAATAAATTTTGAAGATGACATAATATTATTAGTAACCAGAAATATCAGTACTAATCAAAATTGTGTTTTTCCTGCATCCCTACATATCTTTCCACCTATCCATCCATCTATACATCCATGTATCCATCCATCCATCCACCCACCCATCCATTTCAGAGTAATATGTACTTTAAGTACAACTCTGTACCCTAATTAGATGCTTTGAATAATCCCAGGTCACTGATAGAACAATAAAGTATATAAATATCACTTTAGTTGTCATTTTTGGTTGACAGCTGGAGGTTTTATTTCAAGATGAGGCTCGAGTCCTGATAAGTCAGTATATTATTTCCCATGCTATGAGAAATCAGCTCTTCTCCACTTTGCCATATGGAAACCTATGAGCCTCCCACTTAAGACACATACATCGCCACTACCCAATGGGCACACTTTGAGGACCACCAGCCATGACCCTGGTGAGTACACAGATGAGAAATGTGCACAATGACTTTCTACATTTGCCATTTTGTCTTGGTGAAGAACATGAAAAAGTCAGACCAAACTCCTACTATTACAGGAGAAAGAAAATAGGCCAGACAGCGCTGCCCAGGAGGCTTTGTCCAAATACAGCATCAGAGCTGAGTGGATTTCGTATCAGAGCCCAACATTAATGGCAAAGTGAGAGTGACCAGGGTCCCATTTTCCCACACGTCTGTCCAGCAGCCGCAGGGCCTCACTGCGACAGGGCCAGGGCCAGCAGCGTCTCCCTACGCCAGTGGCCTCCCGCCCTCCCGCTCCACAGCCGTTCATCTTGCCTGGGCTTGTTTGTTCGGCCTCGCTGGAAGAAGCCACATAATTGCCCAAGAAAGGGGAAAATCACGGCGCCCACAGCAGGTTCAAAGCCGGCCTGAGGGGTTTCTCTTTCAAACGCACAAGCCGCAGTTCTACAGAGGTGCTGCGCCTCATGCACCCACCCGAAAAGCGCCAGCAGGAGCGCCGTGGCGGCCAGGTTCTCGCGGAACGTGAAGGCCGTGAGCTGGAAGGTGACGATGACGGCGACACACAGGCCCACGGAAACCAAGTAGAAGAGCTGCGGAAACAAAACCGGAAAAGGCAGGCAGCAGCGTCAGAGGAGGGCGGCACAGCGATCGCCAGCAGCTCACCCACGCCCAAGGGGCCTGCACCGACTACTTCAGCCACGCTCCTGCTGCACCCATGAAGAGTTCGTCACTGGACTCATCCTGGGGTCACCGCGTGGGGTGAGCTGCGTCCCCTGAATTCACAGGCTGAGCACCCGTGCTTCAGGGTGATGCTATATTTGCAGACGGAGCTTTTCAAGAGCAATTACATTTAAATGGGGTCATTAAAGTGGAACCTGGCCCCCTGTGACTGTGCCCTTGGAAGCAGAGGAAATGAGGGCGAGGCTAGGGCCCCAAGGCAGGGATCCTAACACTCTGGGAGGCTGAGGCAGGAGGACTGCAAATTTGAGTTCAGCCCACACAACTTAGTGACTTTTCCAGACCCTGTCTATAAATAAGACTTAAAAAGGGCAGCCTGAACTACAGAGACACTGTCTAAACCGGCCCCTGCAAAAAGGGAGGAGGGGTTCAGGATGTCACTCAGTATGAAAGGAAGAAGAAGGGGGAGGGGAGGGGCGAGGAGAGCAGGGAGGGAAGGGGAGGAGGAGGAAATCAGGACAGCTCCTTCCTTCCCTGCCTGCCCCCAGCCTTCCCTGCAGCTGCTCCCTAGGGCCAGCGGCCAGGACCCTTGGGCGCTCACGGACACAGCGCCCTCCTCTGGGCCGCGGGCCACACAGCTCCTCCTCTGCCATCCTGTGACTGGCTCCCTCTGCTTTTCAGACCTCAGTTGCAACTCCACTGGCTCCGACCTCCTGGTTTAAAGCCCCCACCCCACCATCCTCTTCACTCTGCCGGTGACCCAGTCATGAACCAGTTTATCCGGCATAGATGATTTGCTTGCCTCCCGCTTTCTCTAGAAATGGAGAGATCGCTGATTTATCATGACTTCAGGACCAACGTTTCTGTCCATATGGATGGCTGGGAAAGAATAAGACATCCTGGGAGGTTCAGAAAGAGCAGAAACGCGCTGTGCAGAGAGCTGGAGGCCGAGAGCCTGAGATCGTGGGCCCAGCAGGCGCAGTGCGAGGTGAGGTCCGCTTTCTGGTTGCACGTGGCGCCTTGTCCCTGCCTGCTCACATGGGAGAAGGGGTTCCACCCTCACGACTCCATCCCCCAAAGATCCAGTTTCCCAATGTCATCACATCGGGGGTTTGGTTCAAAGACTGGCTTCAGGAACACACAGCTATTTCATAGCAAGCTTGGGCACTCCTTGACGCCTAGCAGAGCCTCAAAAATATTCATTCCCTGCACCATGACATTAAAAAAGCAGGGATTGCTTGGGTAACAGTCGAAGAAACAGTAAACCAAGGAAGCAAATATTCATCTCTGCCTTGAGACTCAAGCCCAGCATCACAGGGTGAGGAAGGGCCAGAGGCAGAGAGATGGACAGATGGATGAGAAGAACACAGCTGAGGGAGTTAAAAGGAGCCCAGGGTGGGGCTTGGGAAGCCAGGTGTCCCTGTGGTGTCCCAGACATGCGCTCCTCACAGGGTCTTATTCTCTCCTGCTGCAGCCTTCACTTTTCTCTGGGGTGCTGGGACCACCAGACACTATTAAATGGCAGACGTAGGGAGCAAAGTGGCCCAAGGCCATGTGTGGCTCTGGGACCATCTGAGCCTGAGGCTGAGGGTGGCACTGAAATCCTGCTCTACTCAGCAAGCAGCGAGGGTCTGGCTGAGTCACTTCCTCACTCCCAGTTCCAAGCAGCCATGGCAGGGAGGGGGTGGGGGCCAGCACCTTTCAGTCTCTTCCTAGATTCACAGCCCCCCAGGATGCTGACTGAGGCAGAGCTGGGTGCCATGCAGCCCCGAGGAACAGAATCCATGAGGGTGTGCTGTGGGACTACCCATTGTTGGTGACTGTCACTGGGCAGGTTTGGGTTCCACTCAAAACGGGTAATCAAACTCCTGAAATATTGGGGTAACTTAGGCATGACCTGTGCAAACTAACTTTTTAAAAATCTCGCTTACATGATAGAAAGGAAATAAATCAGCTGAACTCCAAACCAGCTCAAAGGCATAAACATTCTAGAGGAGCAAGAGGTTAAAATGTCAGGTTGTTCCACACAGAAAGCAAAGCAGCTGGTGCAGAATGCAGCCAGTGAGAGGCAACGGGAAGCCTGGCCTGCCCGCCTTCATGGACAGGGGATGGCCAAGATCACCAGGTGAGTCCTGTTCACAAAGGCATGAGCATGAATGTGCCACAATTCCACAGGAAGGTCAACGCTACTGGAAAACAGACAGCGAGTACTGATCATAGAAGAGCACAGAGCACTCTATCGATCATGGTGGATGCACCTTTGATGCAAGGTAAACATCTGAACTTCATGGAACAACTCAAGAAGGGCTCTGTCTTTGTCTTCTTTGACACTGCAGTCATGGTGTGGAGGGTCCTGGTGGGAAATGCTAGTACCTGCCACACACAGGAGGGAATGGCTCGCAGCTCAGTGGGGTTGGCTTCAGGCATGCAGAGGACAGATCATTCCTCATTCTTTTTGTCATCTCTCCTTTCTCTTCTTTCAAAAGAGCACATCAAAGGTGATTATTTGCTCATTTCCCTAATTATAAACTTTGCATTCCTGGGCAGGTCTCCAATTTCTCAGGTCTGCAGCTCGACGTCCCTGACCCTTTTCTACCAAAGCCACCCTAATGGTGTGGTGAGCATCACTGAAGGTGACTTGGCCTGAGCTGCTCTCCCTGACACAGGAGCCCTTCTCCATGGGTGGTCCCAGGTGGCCCACTCCCTCCTGCCGTGCCCCGCCACAGGTCTTACCATGTCATACAGGAAGTGAGTGACCCAGTACGTCCTGTAGCCAAGGCCACTTATGTGCTGCAACCTCTTGGCTCCAGTCACCCTGTCCCTCACCACGTTGCTCCCGATGGATGCAGACAGGATGGAGAATCCCAGCACGATGCACAGGGCCACACCGCACTGCCGGATGCTCTCCAGGCTGTGGGCAAAGCACAGAAGTTCATCAGATGAGAGAAGAGGCTGAGGTTATAGGCAGGCCTGATGACTGGCCCAGTGTGGGCTGACAGTGGGGAGCTCCGCCTCAGAACCCTGGCCACTTCTGGAGACTCAGACTATGGTTTAGAGTTTGGAGCAGATGTCACCAAGGAGCACAGAGTCCAGGGCAGGTCTGCATCTGCCTATCTGTGTCCACACCAGAAGCTGAACCTCACTCCTAGCTAAGATGAAAGCCATCCCCACAGCAGCAGCAGCAGCAGCAGTGACACACTGCGACCTCTGCCTATGACGAGTGAACTGGTCACAGCAACCCCTGCCAAGGAGGGCACCAGGGACAGGTCCACCCACCGTGGCCCTGCTCCCACCAGGGCAGCTCTAAATGACCTCAGCATGGCTGCAGTCGTATACACCACCACTCTCCTGCCAGTTTTTCTAACTGCAGCATTCGCAACACCTTTCCATCCCAGCAGGTGCCACTCGGCCTCCTCTCTGTCCTGTCTTTAGGGATATCGGGCACACATGATCTTTCCAGCATCCGGCAGAATAAGACCTCTGCCCATAAACCATGCTCTGGGCTGCACCTTCTTTCCCATCGTGTCTGGTTTTATAACATTCATCAGCTGGCTGCTGCTGGGACTCTAGGCAGCTGTCAGAGACTATTAGAGGTAGAGTCCTGAGAGTCAGTGTATGAAGGACAGCGTGAACTGTGACCCTCTTTCCTGCTGCAGTAATGACTGCTGGACAGAATGCCCATGAAGGATGTTGTGATGCACGCATGGTGGTGCACGCCTGTAATCCTAACACTCTGGAAGGCTAAGGCAGGAGGGTGGCAAATTTGAGCCCAGCCTGGGTAACTTAGTAAGATCCTACCTCAACATAAATAACTAAAGAGCTGGGGATGTAACTCAGTCGGAAGGTTTGGGTTCAGTCCCAGTGCCAATTTTTTTAAAAAGCATATTGTGTTCCTACCTCGGTGGGAAGGATACAAATAATATTTTCATTATCAGTGCAGTGTTTAAAAGTTTGCCAACAATATGATACAGAAGGGAGATGGGGGATGGAGAGAGGCTGGGCAGAAGCATGGTACCTGGTAACGAGACAGTACAAAGTGGCAATCTGCCCCTCCACCGGGACAGTGGGGAGTCTCCCCAGGAAATGTCGGGGCACTTCCCTGTCTACCTGTGCATGCGCTGTGTTTGTGTCAGCCTGAACAACTGTCCTGGAAGAGGCTTGGGGTATAGGTCAACGGTAGAGCACTTGACTGGCATGCACCAGGCCCCGGGGGGCCATCCCCAGCACCACACACACACACACACACACACACGCACACACACACACACACACAAGTCCCGGAAGATGTCCAGTCCCATGCACTGCAGGGGATGCATTGCATTAGGCCAGTTTCTACTAAGACATGTGGCTGCATGGCAGTTCCATCCATTCTAAGCTCCTTATACCCTTTCATTAATCTCATTCCTCCCACCTGCAAGGAAATGCCCATGCCCCGTGCCACTAACATCATACATCTCTCCTCCGAAACATGGATAAGGCATCAAAATCGCCCCTAAGATACTCAGAGATCTTCCGCATTTAGATTTCCACCCCACCACCAGCAGCAGCAGCAGCATTCTTTACACTCACATCTTGTCTTCATTCAGCAAGGCCCCTCCGTACGGGTGGCTGTACAGAGTTATTGCTGCAAAGAGAAAATTCAACAGTGAGCCTTGAGGCTTCCCGCCCAGGAGTCACAGCCCACCCCCAAGGCACACGAACTCCCTGTGCCTGGCTCCTGCATCCTTTACACAGGTCCTGGGCCCTCAGCAGCAACCAAGGCCAAATCCCATCTTGCAGTTCAGTCAGTGGGTGCTTGGGCTTTCACTGTGGCTACTCCTGCCAAACATAACCAGCTGACCATAAACACAGGGAATGTCACACGTGCCCTGTCAACGTGTTACATGACAGGCACTGTGCTCACATTTTATTTGTTATGGTCAATCCCTGTAACTCCCTCAGGGCCCTGGGGTATTATATGATTTAAAAAAAAAAAAAAAAAAAAAAAAAACAGACTTAGGAGATAAAAGTATGTAAAGGAGATCATTTGGGAACATCTAGGTCAATATTCAATTCTCCTCTAGAGGAAGCCAGGTCTAGATAGACTGGAAAACTGGACCATTTCCTTTGCCAATTTTGTTTCAGTTGTTTTGCTTTGCTTTGTTCAAATGCCAGCCGCCAATGGGGAGAAACTGCCACCAAGTCATCAACTGAAAGGGTTTCATTTTAAAGGCTGCTCATAATAGCACACAGCATGGCATCCATTCCCAGCAAGCCCCAGTCGATACTGGATCGAGAACTCTGTAACTTCAGGCAAGCGATTTGTGTTTCATCCCAAAGACACTGTGAACTACGAGAGTAATTAGGTTTCTTTTTCTAATTGCTTGCTTCAAACGTTTGGAGCTCAGTAGCTTGTATTGCAGGCAGCACAACAGACCCCAATCTTTGCTCCATTTCATGTTGCAACCCCTATGTTTTCTTCCTCTCCTTTTGACTCAGTTTTAACTCATCTGTATTTTGCACTGTCTTATGAAAGTGTATTAAGTCCTTACTGAAACATCACAGGGTATAAGGAAACATAAATAAATTAAAAGGTGCGGTCTTGGAACAGATCTCAGTTCCCCAAAGTCCCAACAGTCCTGCCCACAGACACCCTGACATCTGCCCGGCTGCCGCCTGCTCCCCTCTGTAACAATGCCAGCCCTCCTAGGTCTTCCTTCACAAGCTCAGCCATGCACTAGGGTGAGCTCTGCTCATAGCAGAAACAACAGTGGGAGGTATTTATTCAGAGAGTCTCTGCTACAGTTTTGCAGACCAATTTCTGGGATTATAAATTGATATTGTCTAGATATTCTACTCCTGGCTCCCAGTGTGTGGGCCTACTGCCTGCTGCGAGATTTCCTAGATCCTGCTTGAGGCTGATGTCTGCCTGTCAGGACCCAGCACACCCACCAGGCTTTCTTCTCTTTGTCTTCCACTGAACGTGACTTCTGGCCTTGCTCCTCACAGTACCTGCCAGCCACTGTGTGTCCTAGCTAAACTGCCAACTCCGGGGCAGCTACCGTGTCACCTGACCAGCAGCCTGGTGTGGACCACCTGGCTGTGCCTAAGCCAGCTGACCTTGGGCAGTGCTCACAAAGCACCCAGCTGAGTGTGACAGGCGTCCTTGTGGGTGCTGCAGACAACAAGGCTATGCTTGCAATGTTGTATGCTATTCCAGGAGCTGGATGGGACTAACAGAACCCAGAAAAGCGTGGCCAGCTGAGAAAGTAAGGTCTGGGGATTATATTATCTTTGGAACACAGGACAATACTGGAACTGTTAAACATGGAAGCACACACAACAGCAACCATGAGAATGAACAAATGGTTAAAACATCACTTATCAGAGGAAAGAGTTGGTCTGTTTTGTTTTGGAGAAACTATTTGGAGGAAGCAGGTTCCAAATATATCATCAATCATCTTTAAAAATAAACTCTGGTTATAACTATACTGCTTTCATGAATCCTATGGCTTAGATTCTACAAATAATTAAAGCTCAGGTCCTGGGAACCCTAATATCCACAGCCAATCACCCAGAAGTCAGGAGTCTTGGAACCCCTCAAGTTACTGCTGGCATCTGAAGTCTCGATGAGGACCATGCCTTTTGGATTAACAGGCATCATTGAGCAGAGCACTAGATACGTGATGGGATTTAACACCTAGCCTTCCCTTCTCCCCAGGAGAACATAGAGTCCCCATCCTCTAATCACAGTTTTGGACCTGTCTCGATCTCAGCTCTTCCCTCCAAAGCATTAGGGACTTTGATTTGCTGGACCTGTTCTAACTCCAGTTGGCCAACAGCAAGGTTGGGGAACAACTTCATGTAGCAGAATGTGGGTTTGACCACAGGGCTCGCCCTGACTCTCTGCACCCTACATCCTTAGCTCTCCTGGGTCTTCCCAGGCCTCCCTTGATGATCACAGCTGCATCCTACACAGCTCACCCCATATTCTGCAAGTCTGTGAAACCCCCAGAACACCATCAAAAGCCTTCAGAAGTCCTCCTCCTCCAGCTTTTCCACTATGAACATCTCCTTGGTCCTCCCAGTCACACAGACTCAAAAGTGAAGGTTGCCTTGTCTCCCCACCCTGCCCACCCCATACATCCCAGGAGCTCCCAAATTCTGCACACTGATCTCACCTCCTCACACACTGATGGCCCTCTCAGATCATCTCTAGCTCATCCCCTGCAAGCTCACGGTCCCTCATAGCAGCCCAGGAAATTTCCAAAAAGGAGGAGAAACACAAATAGAGCATTCGTATTCTTCACTAGACATAGGTGCCCTCTGCAATAAAGCCCCAAACTCTAGTATTACCCTCTTCTCCCTCTCGTGTGGCCCTTCTGAGCACCCAGACACCATCGTCTCCCTAACCCTTACTTCAGGCATCATCATCCCTCCTCAGCCTGACGTCTATCTCAGGTCTCCTTGATGAATCTAATGTCCGTGTCTGGAATCATGATCCCTCTGTTTCCTGCTTTGTTGAGGTACAACTGGTGAATATGAAATGTACAGACACTGTTCCCAACATAGAATGGTCTGACTTATGATTTTTGCACTTATGACAGTGCAAAAGAGATAGGAGTTCATAAGTATGATCTCAAAAGAGATCATACTTCAGAATTTGAGATCATACTTCAGAATTTGAAATTTAATCTCTTCCTGAGATAGTGGCGTAAAATAGGATGCTCTCTCTGGATCCTGGGTAGGAGCAGCCGTAGCTCCAGGTCCTGGTCAGCCCCACAGTCCTGCAGGGCACCAAGAGGGACCAGCAATCCTCTCCAGGTACCACGAAGCAAGGCTAAGTGGAATAATTATTTCACATGCATTTCCCACACATTTATTTATGTGTGTATATATGTGTAACATATTTCATGTATCATTCATCTACTGTTATAGATATATAACATAATAAATACACACATATACTTGTGAGTATATATGTATATACACTTTCTGTATCCATTCATCTATGGATATACCCACACACAGTGGAATATTCTTTGATCTTTAATAAAATGAACTACCTTTCATGATATCCTGGATGAAACAAAGACACTATGCTAACCAAAATAAGTCAAAGACAGAAAGACAAAATCCTAATTCTCACACCTGCACATGAAATTTCAAAAAGTCAAGGTCATAAAAATAGAGAAAGAATGTGTTTATCAGGGGCCAGGGGTATGATCCATAGGGAAATATGGGACAAAGAGTAGTAACTTTCACATATGAGATGAATTTGAGTTTCAGAGACCCAGTGTTTCGGACCGCTGTTAATAACTCTGTGTTGTTTATTTGAAATCTGATGAAAGCAGATCTTTAGTCTTCTCATCACAGATGCACACAAAAAATGACTTAAGTAGACAAGGGGTCAGCAGAGAAGGGAAGGGAAAGGCATTTCTCAGACTCTGAGGCCTCACTCACTCATGAGCAGAGAATAGGGCCTGGTATCCAAAAGCAAGTAGTCAGCCCTCCTTAACCACAGATTCCACAACTACAGATTTTACCATGAATCAAAACTGTGCAGCAAGAAATGTACTGAACGTGTGCAAATATATCTGCATTCTCATTATTCTCTACATAGCATAGCCTAACAATGATTCACAAAGCACTTACACTACATTAGGCATTATAATTGTTATGGTGGAGGCTTAAAACATCCTTCAAAAGTCTCCCATGTTAGAAACTGTGACCTAGTTGGAAGGGGTGGTTATTGGGGCCATAATCCAGAAGGGTGGATCTTTACCCCCAACTCTTTCCTTCTCTCTCTGTTGCCTGGTTTCTGGGGGTAAGGAGTTTTTTTTTTTCTCATCCACACAATTCCATCATGCTTTTTCTGCCTTGGAACTAGCCTATCATGGACTGAATCCACTGAAACCATAAGCAAAACTAAACCATTTCTCCTTTAAATTGTGGGTGTTGGGTATTATGTGCCAGCAACAGGAAAGTGACTAATACTGCAATTTAGGGATTATTCAAAGTATATGGGTGGCTTAGCAACTTTCTCATTGCTGGGACAAAATACCTGACACCCGAAGTTAAAGGAGGAAAGGTTTATTGTAGCTCACAGTTAGTAGAGTTGTCTGGCTCCAAGGAAGGTTGACATGGCAGAGGAGAAACAGTCTATGGCAGGGAAGACAAGAGGTAGCAGCTTGGTATCCCATCCAACCTATAAACCTTTTGGTAGTGCCACCAACACCCAGGGTGTGGCTTCCATTACCCACATCCCAGTCTGTGTTAAACGAATTTAGTTATCACACACACTTAACCCCAGTATCACACACCCATTATCCAGCCACCTCCCAAAAACCCCACCTACAAGAGCATGAGGCTTTGGGGGGATAAGCCATAATAAGGGGAGATGGACACGTGCCTAAGTTATATGCAAATCCTCCACCATTGCCCATTTATACAAGGGACCTGAACAGGAAGTATTCTACTGTCTGTAGAGGTGGAGGTTCCTGGAACAGATTCTTAGCCACTTCAGTAGAGGCACCTCAAGCACAGGTACCTAAAGAGCCAGAGTGTGACAGCTGGGCTTGCAGATGCCTCAGCCTATTTTCCTACAGGTGTGTCACACACCTCCTCAGCACATACTTCTGATTT